AAAATTTTGCAAAATTATGCAAAAATTTCTATACTAGGTCATTCTTTTTTACCGTATGACCGTCTATTAGGAAGAATATCACAAAATACAGCAAGCAAGTCAAATTTATTACACCTGAAAACTATTATGAAATACTCAAAATGCATGCTGATAAAGTGTTTGTTAACGGTAAGGACTGGGTATTGCACAATTTTAAAACAGCTGCAGCAGCAACCTCTTTTTGGACTGCAAGTATTAAAGAGAATACTTGTTCATTCGTACGAATACTCGTTCATTCATACGTGTCAAAAGGAAAGTGCGTTATTACTGTAAGTGGAGAGGAAGATTATAATACAAGTACAAACAGTTATCAGTCATTATTGAAAGCAAAAGCATTTTATTCAAAATAAAACAAGTGACAGGTTCCCGACCTTTGTTTACTGGGAAACTTGCGGACATTAAAAACCTCCTTAAAGTGACGTTTGGTGAAAGCTGGGTTAGTATTCCAAAGTTAGCTTTCTACAAGACACTGACAGACAGTGAATCAGAAAATGACTGCAACTGCTTTACCAAAGATGACACGGCGTGTGTTTGACAAAAGTTTAATATAGTGTTGTAGATTTTTAGCATAACAAAAAGCAGTTGTTATAGTTGTTAAAGAACACTACAGTAAAATAAAGTTAAAGACATGGTGATATCAATAGTAAACAATGCTGCGAATTAATAGTCATTAAAATAGTTCATTTTGTAATACAAACATAATAATACAAGCATCATCATCAGTTACGCTGAAAAAAGGATGCAAAACTAGATAATTCGCTATTTTGGTGCAAATACAGGCTAATCTAAACTTTACCTCTTCATAAAAAACATCTTATAAAGTTTTTCCTAGGAAATTTTCTATGTTCTGTGAACCATGGCTCTTGTTGATGTATGCTATGTTAGCGACATTAGAATGTAAAGAAAATCAAGGAATTGAAAATATAGAAATCAAGGAATTGAAAATATCAAGATATGTTAAAATTTTTAATTATGAGTTTGTTTGGTTTTGCATGGGTGCTCTTCAAATCATTTCTACATATCAGAGGTGAAAAGTAGGGTAGACCCAGAAGCGTTAGATTAAATTGATATTTATTATAACACCACATACATGTTCTAAAGGGCACGTAGACCCATACAAAGATGAACACTGACAGCGTGCCGATAATTAAATTTAAAATATATCACCACAAAAACAATAACAAAATTATAAAGAAACTTATAATGTTCCTTTTAAAATAAGTATTTGTTGAAGTCAATAGAGTTAACATTATTTTTAAATGTTAAAATTTTTTTTGCAAGCACAGCTTTCGAGAACTTATTAATCCATACGTCAGCAACTCGGTAAAGAACCTAAGCAATAAATTTGCGCACTTTCTAAATATGACCTTGGATGCAGCTTTTGTAATCAATTACAAAGAACATAGATTTTTCTGTACAAATCAGTGTGTGAAATGTTTTAAAGCATGTACTTTTAAAGTCACTTTTAAAGCGCCGAATTTCAAGTGATTTCAATCCAGGCAAATGTATTTGATTATGATAAAACAAATTTACAAGGTTCCTAATTTTCTAAGTAAATTTTCATTGGACGCTTTCAACAGACTTAATTGATCCGATTTGGTGTGGTAACCAAACTGGAAAACAACGTGAGCCTACTTTTTTTTCTTTGATGTGTAGCTTTTTAGCTTTTCAATTTTATTTTTTATGGAAAAAGCTTGACAAAAACCTAAGCCTATAAATAAACCCATAAATAACATTATTAAAAGTTAATAATTGGTTTTTAATGCATTTTAAGTTTATTTTGTTAGATTATGTCTAAAGGCCTAATGTGCCCCACTATCGGGGTAAAATGGGGCAACGGTATAAAATAGAGGCTAATTTAATTTTTCACCAATTTTTTTAAATTTATTACTTTAGTCATCACAATTTTTTGAAAAGCATTTTAATTTGACATTATTGTTCCCAGGCTCCAATCATTGCAATTTTTATTTGACATATATAACTATATATACTATTATATAAACATATAAATTTTTGGAGTTTTCTTCATGTCTGGTTAGGTAGCTCTACAAAACGTTAGTTATATCAATTTCAAAAAAATGCGAATTTTCTTAAATAAAATCTTAACAAAATGTTGTATTTTATTACAAGTTCTTTTAAATCATTCATAAATTACACTAATTTAAACTTAATTGTAAGCAAAAATTTAAAGTTTTTCCTCGCAGAGTCATAAATTTTAGCAAAAATTAAAACAGCTGTTTAACTTCAATAAAAATCAGCGCGCAAAGTGAAAATGATCTACTACTTTAAAGAAATTGTTGTGTAATCTATGAACAATCCCATCTTATCGTTGTGTAATCTATGAACAATCCCATTTTTAAAAAACAAACAAAAAAACTCATAAACGAGGTAAAACGGTTACAAAGAAATATTGAGTGAAGCGGAACGGTTTCTTGATTTGTCGGCTTTGGAGGAACGGCGTTTTTCTGCGTTACCTCTAGATTAACCCCTAGTCACCCACAAACCAAGAATTTGAATTCACTAAGCATGCATATAGATAAAATTTCAGACAATTTTATGATCATTATTTTTTAATTGTAATTTTTTTAATTGGAGAGTTATTACGTAGTTTTTAGGCATTTAACAGTTTATTGTTACATCATAACACTCTAAATTAAAAGTAAGATAAAGTTACAAACTTAAATAAAAATTCTACAAGTATGAAAAGCTACTGTATATACCGAAAAAAATGTTGTGTGGTATTCAGCTTAATTAAAACGTAATATGCAATTCTTATGCTTTATTATACAAAATAAATCTAAGCTGATGTTCTCTTTCTTTTTACAGATGTCAAAAGATTTTAAAAAAACTTGGTTGCATGTTCTGCACACTGACTTGTTCTGGGAATTTCCAATCTCGATGGTTTCTGATTCCAAAACATTTTCACTGAGTTTAACACTTTTTCGTGACCGTGCGGAATCTAGAATCCCATCTTTTATTTAGTTTATAAATCGGTAAAATTACCACATTTTTTAGTTTATAACTCAGTAAAATTAGCAAAAAAAGTCATTTTACCTAGAAAAAATTAGGAGCAAGCTGAAAATTACTGGAAATGTTCAGCATGAACTCCTTATTAATTTTGGATAAAATCGGCCAAACTTAGACTTGAGCTTTGTCTGAAATCCAAGATGGTGCCCAAAATAATATATTTGTAATATCTCAGCCTGTAGATGATTAATAAATATGATTCTTGCATTTAGTATTATGTTTTTGAGGTTAAGAAATTCATTTTTTGACATTTTTTATTTTTGAACTAAACAGCTAAAACATGGCGGCTAAAAAAAATTCTAAAATTAACACACTTTACGCATAAGCTTTTTAAAACACTTACAATTTTGTGAGCTCATATTCATTTTATTGAACATTAATTATTTATATTTACAACAGATGTTGTCGATTAAGTCCAGAATGTCTCCAGAAGAATACTCAAATTTACAAATGACGTGTTTTACCATTCGCCAAACACATTAATTTTGGGCCAGCATTTGGACTAATATGACCGTAAAACAGGTACATTCGAAATCAATGAAGACATTATGTGAGCTTACACGTGGAAGAGGTTTAACCAACAGTGTACTTTCTCGTTGGATTCTCGGTATGCCCGGATTTTCAACTGTTGGAACAGGTAAAAAAGATTTTTGCGGTATCACTTTTAAATTGTCAGAGCAACACGTTGAATTGTGTGAATTGAGACAGGCACGTGACATTTGCGATGCCGACATCTTTTATTGGATGGATAAAAGCCAAAGAACCAATTTTGCGCCCAACTTAAACTGATTTCACTTTCCAAAGGTAAAGTGGGCGATAATAAAATTTACCGTGATAGAGCAGTTGAAACTGGCATAAATGCTATGAATATAATAGTTGGATTAAATTTTGCCAATATTTATTTAAAACGGACGGATAAAGAACCTGCAGGATGCTTTAAGTATGAGTTGGCACCAACGCCTCCAACACGTTTTGATAAGTCGCTTTTAATGCAAAAAAAGCGACTTATCAAAACGTGTTGGAGGCGTTGTTTTTAATGGCTATTCTGATATTCTACCTGATACCAAATCAGAAGAACACAAACAACGCAAGCCCAAAACAGTTTTAGCAGATGCTATTTTTGACGAATCAATGATAGTGATGTCATCTAGAAAAAAGTAAAAAAGTGCAAAGATGTTTTTAAAAACATATCTTTGCACTCTTTCCACTGCTTTGCTCATTTTAGTGCGGTTTGGCCATCAAACCACGTATTGAATCACGCCTTTTAAAACACTTAAATTTTTTTAAAGTGTTTTAAAAGTCGATTAAATATCCTCAAACGTTTGATGCACTGACAATATTTGCAATATGACTATCGTAATTTAAGTAAGAATTCATGGTCACACCAAGTGACATGGATTCTTACTTAATTAACATTTAACCTGGTATACAAACCCAGAAGATCTTGATCTTTTGTGTTCGTAGACCAGCTTAAATTATGATAAGTTACCTTTAATATCTGTTGGAAAGAAATGCTGATATCCAATGAAGGAGGTTATCTGTCTATTTTAAGAATCAAATGTTTTTTTTAAAAATCAATGTAAACCACGTCAGTAATTAAATTGCTATCTAAAGCTTTATTCTAGTCATTAGTTGACTCTAGAAGATTTGTGCACGTAGATCTTTTGGATAAAAAGCCAGAGACATATACATAGTAAAGCATAAAATATTAAAAATATTATTTAGAACTTTTATTTCAACAAAAAATGATTTGAAATGAGTGTGTTGATCCGCAAAATTAATTAAAAATTTAAATCTAAAATAGCCGCAATTTAAATAAGTGTAATAAAGTGAAATCAATTTTTCAAAAGATTTTTATTTAGGTGTATGCGTCATTCTGCATTTTTACGGCAATATTTGTTATTTGTACCGAATCCGCCCATTTCTGTTTTCCGTGGAATACACAAAATAAATCCATTTAATTGCTATTTTATTATTGGAGTCAAAACTTGATGATTCTGTTGTCTGTTTAATAAATGGTGAAGATTCTTAAACAGACAAAATGACCTCCAGTTTTAAAATCGCTGATATAAAATGTACAAATCTACTTAATTTAGAAAAAAAGGGATCAATAGATCCCTATGTTTCGTTCGAATATCTTGGTAGGTCTATCTTAAATATGTATTTATAACAAATGTTTATTCTCAAATATTTATTACTGTATTAAAAAAAAATGTTTATTATTTTTATTATTTTGATTAAATCGAAAGAAATGAATTTATGAAACGATGTTAAAAAAAGTATATATATATTTATAAAGGTATTGTGGTTACTTATAAAATCATTTCTGAATTTGCGCTGAAAATATTTAATACGTTTTTTGACTTTATATTTAATTATTTTTTGAAGTATTTGTTTTTGTTTCTATATTTATATTATTGACAAATATTGTTATAGTTTTGATTTTGCTAAACACTTTTAAAATTTAAGTTATATTAAAATGTATTTAGAGTATTATAGTAGCGCATCAAATTTTTAAACCAATTAAAAACTAGAATATTTTATATCATCAAAAGGTCTTTAATACAGTATTTTAAAGGTAAAAAAATTATCAAAATCAAATAAACGTATAAAAATTTATAAAGTTATAAGTAACAAATTTTTAGATAAACAGATTTGTTGAAGAAACTATGGTCGAAATAAAGGTTTTTCTTAATTAAAATTGTTATATTTAAACATAATTATTTTCTTAACTAAAATTGTTAAATATAGTTTTTTCAATTCCTATCAAAATGCAGTACTTTGCTATTTATAGTCGAGTGTTATATGACGAGCATATCCAGGGGACAGAAGGGACACCAAGCCACCATCTGTATCGTACAAAGCTGAATATATTTTTCAGAAAAAAAGTATTTTTTCAAAAGAATTTATAAATTTTAAAACACAAAAAGTGATTATAATTTTATACCAGACCTTTATTCTATATGAGAAGTGTATGTTAAAGTTAGAGGTGGGTATGGCAGTAATGACTTAACACACCCTAGTATCAAAAATTAGCATAAATTTGTTACTAATTATAACATAATTAGATTAAGCAATTTTTCAAAAATTAATTTTTCTGCAAAGCAACATGATTAAAAATTGCATGCTCTGATGTCACAAAAAATATTTTTATCTAGGGTCCACTAAGAAGTTTTCCTAATAAGAGAAGCGCATACATTTTTTTAATTGCGGTTGTTTTACCATATACTGCTCAAAGAGTTGTTGTCAAAATTTTTCACTCTGTTGTTTTATTTGTAAAATATTATTTAAAGTCACTGTGATACTTTATTGACACTCAATTGTATCAAAAGGGTAAAAACATTTTCACCCTCTTGATACTCAATTGTATCAAGAGGGTGAAAATATTGGTTTATTTCATTAAAATCTTTCCTCCAGGTGGCCCATACTTTGCTTATGGTTAGATAATTAACAGCAACTCCATCAGACATTGTGTTTTAATCAATTTATTAATTTATTGTGAGATTTGTTATTGCTGCACAAGTGTAAATTAGAATAAATAAAAGCCAAAATGGGAATAGATATATGATTTTCATAATCGTATGCTGTTTCACAAGGTAGTTGGTCCAAAGCATTGACTAGGGATTTATCTTAAGATGCCAAATCAATACTGTTCATAAGAACACCTTGTATTATAGCATTAAACCCAAACTTAAATTACTAAGTTGATAAGCAGCTAAAGCATTATAATAGATGTTTTTCATTATTTAATATATATGTGGTATACATAAAGCTTTAAGTGATGACCAAATGATGATGTCCATTATTTAAAACAAAGATTTTTTGTAAAAGTTAATACATGCCAATCATTAAACATATCAGCATTAATTTAATGTGCTAAATAATGAATTAATGTGTTAAAAAAGTCTAGTGTTAAAAATGTTTAGTCTAGTGTTGAAAATGTCTATTGTTAATATGTTAAAATAAGTTTACAAATTGTCTTTTCAGGACATTATATGTTTCAACTTTCGAGTCTTTATAAATAAAAATAGAAGCTTTATTCAGATTTTGTTGCATAACAAAAACACTTAACACTCAATGTAACTTTAACACAACTTGATATTTACATTGTTACTAGTTAAATTGAATCTTTAATTATTCATTAAATTGCGTATATTCAAGTATCACATTGTAATTAAATTTAATTTTAAACCTCATTTAAAATTAAATTAATATATTTTTTAAAAATCATTTACAAAAATTTGGTATTTGTAAAAGATTATATTTCTATATAATTTATTTTTTAAAACAATCTTATTCTTAACATAATCTTTTGTTTCTTTATCAAAATTTATTTATTTCACATATTTAATACAATATTTTTTGTAAAGGTTATAACAATTTATAGATAGATTTTATCAGTTATTGTAAACAATTCATTTTCATAAATAAATTATATCAAAAGAATTTTAAGCAATATTGGATTAAGAAGAAACATAAAAGAATTCTCTTAAGCAAAAACACTTCTACTTTTTTTATAAGAGTTTTTTGTTTGCATTCATTTTAATTGATGAAGAGATTTACATAATGAGTTCGTTAGATGATAAGAGCTTGTTCTTGAATAAATATTGCAAAACTATTTCACATTCCTTTAAAACTAAATTTTACTATTTTATATTCCTTCAAAACTAAATTAAAGTTTTTTAATTGGTAATTTAAATATTCTAATATAAAAAAGTTTTAAAGTTTTAAATTAAAGTTTTTTAATTGGTAATTTAAATATTCTAATATAAAAAAGTTTTTTCTTAATGTAAAACTGCGGAATGCGTATGCAAATCACCATTTTGTACGTAAAATGCGTGCTGCATAACACTTTAAATGTAAATAGTGTGCTGCATAACACTTTGTATGTAAATAGTGAGCTGCATAACAATGGCCTGTATTGTTTAAACATATTTTAGATTTTTTTATTTTTGTCTTGTTTTCATCTATTGCATATTAAAGATGAAATTGTTATATAAAGATCATCTCGAAGTATTGCAAACGTATTGCATTTTGTAAAGACTAATAATGTTAAAGAGTCTTTTCTCTTTAATAAACAATAGTTGTCCTAATAATAAAAATAGTAGGGGAAGACGGGGAACATTCGACCACTTAGCTGGTTTTTATTAATTTACAAATGATTTTTTATAAAAAACATTTAAAATTTTTTAGCATTACAAGTAATGGTCTTAAACCAACAAATTAAAAAGATATTGTATATAAAATATTGATTTTTGTTAAATCTACCACTGTTTTAAAAGTAAGCCTTAAAATGGTCGAATGTAGCCCACCATTGAGATACATTGGACCACCTAGAGGGGTACTTTCAAACATTTTATTAGCAAAATAATAAATTTATAAGCTTCATTTCTTATAAATGTTTTATTGTACAATAAAAAACTTTCCACAAAATATTTAAAAACAAATAGTAATAGTTGTTTTACAAAAAGATTTGTGAAGTTATATCGAAATAAAAATAACGTTGCCGTTCTTTCCGTCTTTGTTGGAGTCGCAGACTTTAAATGTATTTTTTTTCAAGATGACTTTTTTTTTTTTTTTTATTTTTTTCAAATAAAGTTTTTCAATTTTTTCCTTTTCAGGAGTGTTAGCATATATCGTTGACTTGATTTCCTCTTTATTTATATTGTCTTTGAGAAACTTTAGGCAAGGGCCACACATGTTCTAAAATCAGTTTTTAATTATTCTAGTAGAGTTATTCTAGTAGTTGCAGAAAGAATGCATTTCATTGGTAGATAAGTGGTAAATTATTTTGTAATGGTGTACCTATTACCCTTAGACTTTCACTTGGTTGTCCCATTAGGGTTCTATTTGTGACATCTGGGCATAAAATCTTTTTGCGGCTTGTGGTTCAGACAGTGAATTATTAAAAAATACTAGTAATTTTTTCTAATACCACATTTTCATTTCTTTTATTTCTATATGTTTTTGTTACATATTTTTGAGGCATCTATAAGATTATAAATTAAATTATCGTGGTATTTTCAAGCACCGGTCAAATGTTCCCCAACTAGGTAGGTCGAATGTACCCCACACTTGTTATATATAAACAAACGCTGTTAAAAGCTGAAATCAATTTTTTAAAGTAAACCAAACACAAAGGTTTTCCCCTATCCAAAATAGAATTCTAAAATTAAAAAACTTGTAAACCTCTAGAAGCAATTAATGAGCAACAAGACAAATCAATTTAAAATAACATAAGTTAAAAAAAAAGAACAAGATGATCTTGGACTCTTACATTTAAATTAAACATTAAATAAATATTAAATAAATAATTAATATTTTTACTAGCAATTTTAAGAAAAATTAAAATAAAAAAGAAGTCATCAATATACACTTGTGTTATTAAAATATGTTATTTAAGCAACTTTAATGTACACTTTGTACATATTTTTTATGTTTACAAGGAATTTTATTTCTAGTAAAATAAAATTAAAAAAGTGGAATAAAAGTCTTATAGGTTTTAACAATAGATATTTTCGGTGAAAAATTTACTTATTAAATGATATATAATAGTAGTCACAATAAAATTAAAATCAATCAGGTTTAACTTCATGGTTAAATTAAGAAGTTTTCTTATATTTAACCAAGTTTATTGTAAGTTTACATGCTAACGAATGCTAGTTTTTAAATTTACTAAGAATCAAGCCAAGTTAGTTTAAAGCAAAGTTCTTTAAAGTAATATTTTATTGCTGTATTTCCAATACCTGAACAAATGTAACTTATAAAACCTATGCTGTCTAGATAAGATTTGCATGCTTGCTAGATTGTTTTGCTTTGATTAATTTTTTTTTTTATGTTTAGTTCATTTATTTTGTATCAAAACAATAGAATTTTTTTCTGTAGCTATTTTGATTATTCAAAATATTAAATATAAAAAAATTAGTTTTATAGATATTCATAATATTTTTTTATATATTATCTGAATTTATTATATTTGTTAATAATAAGCATATTTTATGTATTTGTATATATTTTGTTTAAATTTTTTTCACAATGGTGTGTGGTTTTTAAAATATTAACTACTTTATTAAAATAAACATAACTTTACTTTAGTTGAGTAGTTTATGTTTATTTAACATACTGTTAAATAAACATAAAC